TGCATAAAAACAATAAATTAAGTATAATGTGCAATTAATACTTGCGTTTAGCGTTAGAATCTCTAGAATGCATGGGTAACCTTGTTCGTATTGCACTTAAATGTGTGCCCGCTGCAAAGCTATGGCTGGATAAACAAGCAGGATTCCGCCGGCTATGTATGTGATCTTTGAGCCCACACACCAAAAGGCTGCAATGATTCCAGAGTTAAAATAAAAGCAATGGAAAAGATAAGCTGTACTTGCCTATGGAGCCCACAACAGGACCAAGCGCACGAGCTAGCGCTCCCAGAGAACGGAATATGCCTAATACTGAACCCTTTTGATCATCGTTGCCGTATTTGGACACCAAGGTGGTCAGGCAAGTAACCGCAAAGGCTGTGGAGATTGCGAACAGAATCATTCCGGCGTAGAGCATTCGACTGCCCTCGGCTAGGCCCACCAATACAAAGGCGGGCACAATTAGATACAGACTAAAGATGGCATAACTTTTGATTTTGGCGTCGGGAAGACGACGCACCACCGATCCCTGTATCAAAGTCATAATAACACCTACACAAAATGTGATTATTAAATTAAGAATGTAAAATATATGCAAAAGGGCATGAATTTCACCTGTTGTGAGAAACATTTTCGCCTGATCCATGGACGTGTAACCAAACTTGTGATACATCAGGAATGTGACGGTGAATTCCAAGCCAGAATACAAGAATAAATATAAAAAGTATATCATTCCAATGGATTGCAGGGCGTCCTTATCTTTTTTGGGCACATTTTTGATGGCAGCAAATCTGTGAATTTAAAATATGATAATGTTTTAGGAAATCCATCAATAATCATAGATTATATGCCCTTCATGTATGACTCCAGAGTGTTTCCCTGCAACTAGTTTTAATGAAGAGAATTACCAGCAAGTGCCAGCTGATAAGACAATCAAACTAACGTGCCCGAGTGCCCGGCATGATAGCGAACGGAACGTCACGCTTGGGCCGGTAACCAGTCGAGCGGGTTTTGTTGCAAAATATCAATTAACTTAGTCACACGACAGGTTTGCAAGACATGCTAATTAAAACACGAATTACCTAAATATGGATGAGACGTTGAGCAATTGCAAGCCGTAGGACAGGGCGGATGAAATCTCCTTAACACGTTTCTCCTGAAAATGTCATCATACAGATTAAAGATAAAACTTTAGATGCAAAAGATCTCTTACCTTTGGCAGGGTCTCTCGCAGACAGCAGGTGAGCACCAGGAGATCGCCCAGAGCTAGACCCAGGGCCAATAGGGATGGAAGCACAAACCAAGCACCGCCACTTGCAGATTTATTCGAGAATATGGCAAACATGGCACCAATCATGGGTCCCACAATGAAACCCAACGAGAAGGCCACACCAACCAGGGCCATGCCGCGGCCCCTGGTCTTCACGCTGGACACATCCGTGATGACCGACATGCACAGCGAAATGTTGCCCTTGCTGATGCCACCAACGAAGCGAGCCAGGACGAACAGAGCAAAGTTTCCGGAGCAGGCCCACAGCAGATAGGAGAGCGCAATGCCAGACTGTGTTTGTTGGATAAGCGAAAAGTTTCAATATTGTGACCCAGATTAAAAGAACGTACACTTACCGCACACACAAGTAGAACGGGTTTGCGTCCATAGTAGTCCGAGAGGCCTCCCACAATCGGACTAGCCAGAAATTGCAAGAAACTGTACATTGAGCCTAGGAATCCGCCAAACAGCACCGATATATAGCGCTCTGGGGCACCCAGCAGCTGCTGGAACCAACGTACTCTCTCCGTGAGCACATTGTACAAACCGGAACTATCATTGACGCGATAGTACTCAAGAAGCGAGGGTAGCAGCGGCAAAATGATGGTGAATGCCAGCAAATCAAACAGCAGGGACAAGAATATGATGTATATCATCCGGTCACTCTTTTCCTTTGGTTCAGCATTCTTGGTGGCTGCTTCCTTGCCTTGCTGCTTCCCATCGTTATTGTTGTTGGTGACGATCTGCTGAGAGTCCGTTTCCGGCCTTTCTTTTGTGGTTTCTGTGGTGTGGAGGCGATTCCGTAGGGTGGCCATGTTTGTTCTGTGTTTTGTGATTGCGTGCGTGTACAAATGCTATTACTTCAACATAACTGTATCTCGGCGTAACTGCCCAACGGCTTGGCCCCAACAAAACAAAGACGCTAAATGCTCCCCAAAAGCAACCCGCCACCAGAAGTGAAAGTTGAAGCGCGCAACAGCTGACTGGCGGTGGTCTACCACGATCAGACATGGATAACCAGTTATAAACAAATTAATGGGCAACACATCAGCTAGCAAAAACCAGACCACGGGTGTAATTTTAGATGAAATATTTAAAAAAACATTCAACAACTTGTTGCATGAACGTGTAAATCTACTAAAGTTTGGCTTGAACAGCTGTGGCTACTGGCACTTACCAACACTACTCGCCAACTAGAAAGAAAACAAAATTGATTAATTTGTCTAACAAAATCGCCATTATAATTAGAAGAAAGACTTTAAGACCATGTCAAAGGTGACCGTGCAAGACATAGAAGCCGTCGATGACTACTGGGGACCCACGTTTCGCTCCATCCTAGAAGGTAAGTGAAATAAACCGGAAAACCTGTTTTGCTTACGCCCCTTCATCTGCCATTCCCGCAGGCAATAATACAAAATTGATTAGCGAACAATTGGATCAGCGGATACGCAGCCATGACAAGGAAATCGAACGTATATGCAACCTGTACTATCAGGGATTCATAGATTCCATCCAGGAACTACTGCAGGTGCGCACACAGGCCAAGCAGCTGCACGATGAAGTCCACTCGCTGGACACCTCGCTGCGGCAGATCAGTGCCTCACTCATCCAACAGGGGAATGAGCTGGTGCGGGCACGCCAAATCGAATCCAACCTGGCCAGTGCCATCGAGGCTCTCAAGTCCTGTCTGCCTGCCCTGGAGTGCTACATGAAGTTCACACAACAGGCCAAGAACAAGCAATACTATCAGGCGCTGCGCACTCTGGAGACACTGGAAACGGAGCATTTGTCGCGCTTGAAGAGACACAACTACCGCTTTGCCACTCAGATGCAGATACAGATTCCAATCATTAAGGAGAACATACGCAAGTCCTCGGCCTTAGATTTTCGCGAGTTCCTCGAGAATATACGAAAGTTCTCGCCGCGCATTGGCGAGCTGGCGATCACACACACCAAGCAGCTGCAAAAGCGTGATATAAATGCCATCATCAAAGATCACATGCAGCAGGCCAATGGCGCAACAGTCGGTGCGGGCGGCGACGACGATGGTGGCAATGTGAGCGCTCAGGATCTGATTGATTTCTCGCCCATCTACCGGTGTCTGCACATCTACATGGTACTGGGCCAGAGGGAGTACTTCGAGAAGGATTATCGTCAGCAGCGTCGCGACCAGGCCAAATTGGTGCTTCAACCACCACCCAATATGCACGACAATCTGGAGGCCTACAAAACCTACATCTGTGCCATTGTCGGCTTCTTTGTGGTGGAGGATCATGTAAAGAATACGGCTGGGGATGTGGTAACCAGCAGTTATCTGGAGGAGCTGTGGTCCAACTCGCTGACAAAGTTTGTCAACGAGATCAGCATGAGTTCCTCCTCCTGCACCGATCCCAATATATTGCTGCGCATCAAGAACGTCATCATGCTGTCCATCAACACCTTCAAGTGCTATGGCTACACGGTGAACATTCTGTGGGAGCTGCTGCACAATATGCGCGATCATTACAACGAGGTGAGGAGAAGCACAGCAATAGCATGCCAATAAATTGTAACGTTCCTAACGTTCTGCTTACAGGTGCTGCTGCAACGATGGGTTCATGTCTTTCGCGATATTCTCGACAAGGAGCAGTTTCTGCCGATGGTCGTGCAAAATGTTGAGGAGTACGAGGGCATCATTGAGCGTTTTCCCTTCCACTCGGAGCAGCTGGAGAATGCGCCGTTTCCCAAGAAGTTTCCCTTCTCGCGCATGGTGCCGGAGGTGTACCATCAGGCCAAAGAGTTTATGTATGCCTGCATGAAGTTTGCCGAAGAGCTGACCCTCTCGCCCAACGAGGTGGCTGCCATGGTGCGCAAGGCAGCCAATTTGCTGCTCACCCGCAGCTTTAGCGGCTGTCTATCGGTGGTATTCCGACAGCCCAGCATCACGCTGACCCAGCTCATACAGATAATCATCGACACGCAGTATTTGGAGAAGGCCGGACCGTTCCTCGATGAGTTCGTCTGTCATATGACCAACACGGAGAGGAGCGTGTCACAAACGCCGTCGGCCATGTTCCATGTGGCGCGCCAGGATGCCGAGAAGCAGGTGGGCCTGCGCATTTGCTCCAAGATCGATGAGTTCTTCGAGCTGAGTGCCTACGACTGGCTGCTGGTGGAGCCTCCCGGCATAGCCTCCGCTTTCATTACGGACATGATTTCGTACCTCAAGAGCACCTTTGATAGCTTCGCCTTTAAGCTGCCGCACATTGCACAGGCCGCCTGTCGTCGCACCTTCGAGCATATTGCAGAGAAGATCTATTCGATAATGTACGACGAGGATGTCAAGCAGATCTCCACGGGTGCCCTCACTCAGATCAATTTGGATCTGATGCAATGCGAGTTCTTTGCCGCCTCTGAGCCAGTGTCCGGCCTAAGGGAGGGCGAGCTGAGCAAGTATTTCCTGCGCAATCGACAGCTGCTGGATCTGCTGATCTTGGAGGAATGGAGCACATATTTCCATGACTATGGCAAGCAGGAGAATCGCTATCATCTGGTGCAGCCACAGTCGATCATTGTGATACTCGAGAAGATACGCGAAGCGGACAAGAAACCAATATTCTCGCTGGTGCGAAAGAACGACAAGAAAAAGCTGCTGGAGACGGTACTCAAACAGCTAAAACACATAGCCGAAAGGCAGAATTAAACGATTTTAAAGCGGGGACTACCCGCCGTAATAATTATACACTCCCATGGCTTAATTTAGATACTCTACTCGATTGCACGCAAGTAGCTTTTTTGTTTATTTGTAGGCTAATTTGAGTTTGTCATATGGAAAAAAACGTATTTAATTCTTCGCTTCCTTTTTGATTCTGTTTTGTTTTTATAAAAGACAAAAATTTCAATTGAAGAATTCCTTCCAGGACCGGGGAGCCGTTGAATGTGTAAAATTGTACTTTGTATTTTGATTTGTTTATGTACAAAAAGCGGAATATGTAATTGGTTTGACGTTTTGCCTACTTTATGGGTTGGAGGAAAGCTACAAAAAACAAAACAAAAAAAAAAACACGAAACTGAAAAACAAACAAAGAACAGAACAGAACAAAAGGAAGGACTAATAACAAATTGTATATAATTATTAGATTGTATGTATGTATGTATGCGTATGGTGTGTAGGTATATGCCGCAAAAAGTTGTAGTAAAACTAATTTCTATGTTACGTATATATATATTGTTTGTGTCGCTTTTGTCAACTCTTCGTCTCCAAATGCTTGGGCGCATCCGCGTAGGTGAACTTCAAGCGAAATGCCTCAGCCAGCAGTACATTTATTTGGCGATCGGACCAATTATGGGTTGGCAGATTTTGTAGCAGCAACATGAGACCCTATTTGGGGGGTGGGGTGTTGGAAATTCCATAAATTAACAAAATATAATAACAATGAAATGTTTTACGAATAGAAAACTCACTTGAAAATCATTCTGTTGCATTAGCTGCTCCTTCCAATGCAGCAGAAATGCGGCACACACATACAAATGGAACAGGGCAAAGCCATCCGATTCGGCCAGATATGTGTCCCACAAACGGATGGTGCAATGCAGCGGCAGTTCGCGTGTCAGCAAATTGTTCATCCAACGAAATGAGAATTGCAAATAGTCAACGCCATGCGTCTGTAAATGACGATGCAGATTAACTGCAAATATACAAAATTAAATTAAAAATTATGGAAGATAATTAGGCGGGGCAGAACAATGGGTTGGTGGTGGTACCATGCCAATCATTGCTATGACAACTTTATAATTTTGATAGCTTTATGGCACAGCTTTGGGGTTATCTTTAAGCACTACAACAGCAGACAACATACAACTCTTAAGCGAGCGACGCTTCACATTTATCTTATCATATAAAAATATGTGGGTACATATCTCTATCTATATATGAACACCTCTCAAAGGTCACGTCACATCACTCACCGTCTATGCGCTGTATAAGATCCTTGAGTTGATTGACCTTCTCCTGTATGCCCAACTGGGCAAAGATATAGTTATCCTGTATGCAGTCGAGAAACTTGGATAGGCACCAAAACGAATCTGCCTCGATGATGTTGCGCGTCTCCTCCGCCAGTGTGGACATGTCGAATTTCTCGAGATCTGTGTTGGGCGTCAATGCCTCCTGCAGAAACACAATAAAAAAGGGGGTGACCAGATCGTTGATGCCCTGCACATAGCCCGAGGCCGGATGCCGGATGGCCCAAATGAAGAGGACACGCTCGAACATCTCCTGGACGAGCTGTTGCTGGAAGAGCGGTATCTGTGGATTCATGCGCGGCACATCGATATGTATCTGACGATACGTATCCTGCTGTGTCTCGTCCTGGCTGTCGACCCTAAAGTAGTTGTGTCTCAAATCGTGATAGCCCTGCCGCTTACTCTCCAGCACCGCCATGCGTCGCTCGCTCGAGGGGGGCAGATATTTCGACAGCAGCCGCCAGCTTACAGCGCGCATCTGTGGAATGGCAGAGAAATTTAATTAAATTACACACACACACACACACACACAAATGTGGTTTTCCAATTTGCTGCCATACCTTGCGCGGCACTCCCGACCAACTGAGCTTCTTCAGAGCCACCAGATCCAACTGCGGCGAGTCGAGTAGCACCTGAAACTTTTCAATTTTCGTCTCATATTCGCCGTCTTGTGAGTTGCAGCTGATCTTCTGCAGTTGCGGTCGTCCGGGATAGTTTCTCAAACGTGATCTGTAAAAGAAAATTCGATTACTATTTAGTGGTGCACTTGTTGTGGCCTGTCCACATGGCTATGGATGAAAGTCTGGGAAACTGTTGCATTCTGGCAGCTCAAAACTTCGAGTTACTTGAGTAGCTAAGGACAGATGCGGGCCCACACCCACTCCAGCCCTGGCACTTGTTTACACAACTGTGGGGCAGGCACGACAACAACACAACTCTTGCTGCTGCTGCGCTGAACTTTCTATTTAACTTCCCCCATTGTGCACGAGCCTCACCTGTTCTCATTGCTGTCTGGCAGCGATCGCCGGCGCTCTTCCCTATTCTCTTCCGGGGTGCTTCTGGTGCTTGAGGTCAGGTCTGCACTGCCACAGTCGTTGGCCCTTGGTGTGTTGTGGTTTTGATTGCTCCTTGAGTGCGTTTCAATCACATTCAGTGCCGCCGTTTGTGACATTTGGCGCGATATGCGAGTGCCATCTACATATAGAGAGGGAATCCGGAAATATAAAACCAATTAACCGATAAGACCGATAGATAAGCTGCAAATTACAATTACCAGCGCCGGCTCCAGCTGCGGCCGCTGCTGCTGCTGCCGCCGCTTCCGTGCTGCTGATGATGCAGAACTCGTCGTCGCCCGTGTCCCAGGCATCGCTCACCGACTGCTGATAGTCACGAAAGGTGGACACCATGCCACTGCCGGCACCGCGATGACCTGTCGCCACGACCTCGGGCGGTAGATCTCGTTTGGGACTGGGCCGTCCGGGGACTCTCCGTCCGCTGTTTTTCCAAAAGGTTGAGTTGTTAGCCAAGATGTTCACTGGCGTTGCTCCGGCGTTGCGTGTTCCACTGATTACTTCGGCTGCGGCGGCTGCTGCTCCTGTTGTTACTGTTGCTGTTGGCGTTTTTTCTGGAGCGTGTTCTACATTATTATCCATTATACGTCCCCTCTTATAACAAAAATAATCCAATCGTCGATGTCAGCGTCATTATTTTGCATCTACAAACAGTGCTAGAAAACAGACAACTGTATGGCCACATAACTTTCTTAATAGAGTTGCATTTTTGGCTGTTTTTGTATCACACTAAGACAAACCATTTTTATTGGACAATTAAACATCAGTTTAGCACGTAAAGAAATAACAAAACATAGTTAAATATGTACTTGAAATAGCCAGATTTTCGGCTAAAAGATAATTTCAGATATTCATACCAATCGAACTTTAAAAATAGCTATATAACTTAGCTGATTTTTCAAAAGTGCTGGCAACTCTACTTGGTCAGTAGGTATTTTTGCGCTATCCAACACTCAATACAAAAACAAGTGTTCTCCGCCGTGATAAGCCGCACTCTAACGATTTCATTATTTGGTTAAACAATTACAAGGGCAAAGCATAAAAAGTATGCACTGGAGACAGTCCAACGCATAATTAGCTTACATACAAAACAAAATGCAAAAGCAAGAGGAGGTCCTGTCGCGCCTCAGGCAAATATTGGACATATTTCTGCGCGATAACTTTTCCACACACAACAATGTTTACTTTGAGAAGCTTCTAACGCACCTAAAGGCTAAGGGTGAGGGCGAGAGAGCATGTTTTCGTTCTTTAAGTACTGTCTACTAATCAGAGATCTTTTTTCGCCCACCACAGAGAATGACTATGTGCTCCAGGCGCCGTTTATCGTCGACTGGGTGGACAGATGCATGACCATGGTAACGGAGGACTTCAACAAAGTCCATCCGAAGGTGACATCGTTCATGCTGAATCTCACCAGCTACTTGGCGTCCAACGAATGGATGATTGTGCGCCTCCGTGAACTGGATATTGTGGGCAGGTAAGTCTTCTACCCAGAGCTAGCTCCCATTCTAAAGCAGCTGCTGCCATTCTCTTGCAGAACCATTAAATTCCTGCAGTCGGGAGATCAGCAGTTCAGTCCGTCGATCAAACTGGGTGGCATACGGCTGATGAAGGCCGTGGCTTGCTTCAGCATGGGTCTGGCATTCATGAGGATCCATCGCACCTGGACATTGCTGATTCAATACTCGAACAACGATCACACTCTGTATGTGGTGAGGGAGGCCAGACAGGTGCTCTACGAGATGCTGTACAAATCGTGCGACAAGCTGCACGACAAGGCTGTTACCCTGGAAATACTGGCCGAGATAATGAAGCCCATTCACGATAACCTGTACAAGACCACGGATCCGGAGGTGCAGGAACGCATTCACATCAATGTGGACGACAATGAGCTGTTGCACAAGATCTCCTCCACCTTGGATCTGCTTTCGTACATTCTCCAGCAGACGCTGGTGCTCGAGGAGCGCACAATGCTGATCTCGCTGATGAAGGAGTATCACCACATTGAAATAACCATTTGGAAACTTATCGACATGACGCACAATCCGTACTTTGTGGAGAAGATCTTCACGACCCTGAGCAGCTACTACTTTGCCCTGCTGATGCACGAGAAGCTGCTCAATCCGGACGTGACCGAGCCACCCGAACAGTTCAACGACTTCTGTGTGTCCTTTTTTAATCTCATGAAATTCTTCATTACCCGAAGGGACGGTGTGGGCTTCGTGAAAATGGCCGAACTGAATCATATACTGTGGAAGAAGCTTGGCCCACGGGCCCCCAAAGAGATCATCATACAGCAGGAACGTGTAACGTTTGAGAATCAGTTGATCTGCTTCCACATGCTGCCGCTGCTCTTCTCCATGAAAAATGTCCAGGGGCAGTCGGACGAGGCGGCGCGAGCCGAACTGTTCGACGCTTATGTTCTGAAATTAATGGAAATGTCGTGTGAGCAGACATTCCGTTTGTGCTACAGCATGCGCGATGCCTTCTTCACGCCCGAAGGTGTGGCGGGTGGCCTGTTTACGCCAGAGTTGGCCAACAAGTGCATACACAGTATACTGGCCCTGGAGCATGTGCTGGACCGAGAACAGGCCATTACCGTCTGCCAGGCATTGCTCCATGTTCTCCGCGAGGTGGTGGCTATGAACAACCACCTGGACAGTTCGGCTCAAGATGATTGTCATAGCGTGAGTGACTCTGGCAGCACTTACCGGGATCTGTATCCACGCGGCACGGAGCTGGTGGTGACTGATCCCAAAGTTTTGCATTCCGTCATGGTTGGCCTGCGTACGCTAATCGAACGCTTCAAGATCACGTGGAAGGAGTCGGTGGAGACGATTGGACTTGTCAATTGTCTGGCCTTTGTGCTGGAGAACACCAACATGGATGCCAGAGTGAGAACACAATGAAATATTCTTTCTTTTATTTTTCCAGAGTTTCATAGATTTTGTTTTTGTTTTTTGTCTATTTTCCAGTGCACTGTGCAGGCCCTGAAGCTCGTCCAGCTGGCTGTGGAGCATTTCCTGTCGCCGAACATGGCTCTGCTGGTGGACAATCTGCAGGGCTCTGCCTTGGTTTGCCTGGGCCCCATTATTGTCAAGCGTATGCATGATACCACATGGGAGGTGCGTGATACCACGCTGGAGTTGACCACCTCCATAGCCAGCATTTCCCGCATCAGTAGGTTTCTACCCTAAAACTATGCTAAATTGTTATTAACAAACATTTATGAAATTTCTGCTCTCGTTTAGAGTTTCCCGCCTTTCAGCAGTTTCTGATTGACGCAAAGATACCTCCGATTGTCTACGAAATGGCCAAGAATGATTCAGAGAGCTATGTGCGCGCCTCCGCCTTCAAATGCCTCTCCCAGATGGTGACCATCAATCTACTGTGGGATAATGGGCTCAGTCAACTTGATCTTGTGGTAAGAGATTGCCCTTCTTTTATTCCGCAGACGTTAAACATTCTGTTTTGATCTGCTCCCAGGATCATCTACTGTATGTGCTGTATCGGGACAATGACGATCTCGTGCGTGCAGAGGCTGTGATCACGCTGATGAAGATCTACGAACATCGCAAGATCCAGCAGAAGTACAAGAATACGCTCTTCTCAACCCTCAACTACTGCGTGGTCGGGGATCATCACTCAGAGGTGAAGATAAATGCTCTGCTGTTTTGGCGTCGCGAGTTTTTCCGCCAGTTCAGCAACCAGGGCATGATCGACGGCGTCTTTCCCACAGTGACCTTCTCCAAGGAGCAGAAGAAGATTGTTACGCTGACGGAGAAGGAGATTCAGACGAGCATTGCCAAAGTGTTGGGCGAGGTGCAGCAATTCGGTTACTTTGGCATCATCATCAAGTGTCTGCGCGAAGAGGTGTCGTCGGATATACTGGAGTTCGTAATACGAGGAGTTAAAATAATGAATGAAAAAATTGAGCGCTACAAGGGCATTACGGAGGAGGTCGAGCTGAGGTCACCTGCCCCGAGGGATGAACAATCTTCCTCGTTCAACTTTAAACCACAGGAGCCAACGCCACAGACATCTGGACGTAGCTCTCCCATGAACCCCAGCAAGGCGGATGAGATTATCGATGGCATACTGAGCTCGCAGGATGCGCAGCTGCTGGAGACGGCCTTCCAAACGCAAATGCAAATTAACGACGATGAGGACGAGAAGCGGCACGTGGACGAGTTCTATTACAAACAGTTTGCGATGCCTTTGCGCCAGTTCTTTATAGAGCTGAAGACAATTGACCTGGATAAGTTGATCAAACAGCAAGAGGAGTGGTTTGACTGCACCGAGAACTTGACATCCCTGCTGGATGATATTTTGTGTGTCATAAGGAGTGACGATGAGAATATTATTTCCGATTGTTACTAGCCCGCTAAACGAGCTGAGTGTTTTTTTCCTGAAATATAAACTATTTTTTTAATAACGTTTTCTACATGTGAAATGAGATTTCATTCCGAAGAAAGAACGGATTATAATAAAGCAGAGCACCTTTAAATTTAAATTTACGTTACTTTTCAAAATGACCGCCAAACTCCATTTAGCGAACAAAAAATACCGAGATTGTTCGGTAGAGCAACAATGAATCTACAAAACATACACGTTCCCGTTAGATTTAATTTGTATGGGCAAAATTTCAGCAGCATGGGGAATTTAGTGAGCATTGCTCTGCAACTTGGGCACGGTATAAAGATCTACAAAAAGAATATACAAACAGTTTTATTTTCCGAGGCTTAATTGAAAGCTTCTCTCTGTTTAAAAAGAGGGGTGTTAAGTGGGCTAAGTATCTTTTTCTTCGGTATATTTCGAAAATGATAAGGTATATTTGGGTATACTTCTCAGGGTCAGACGGGTATTTATAATCCATAAATCCGTGGTCACACTGCTGCTCAATGTTTTGGCCGCCGAACACGATATTGTCGAATTTTTTGTGCAGCGAAAAGCGGATTTGTTCGAATTCAGGCGGTGCATCTTATAAATAACAAGAAACATGCAGTTGCACAAACGAAAAGCAAAGCGAAAATATGGCCTGTAAATTATGTCATAAATGTGAAAGTGTTTTCCAGTTGCATTGCAACAACAACAACAACAAACGCAAAATCGTCCACGGCACGCATGTGAAAAAGGAGTGCGAGTGGGTAGAAAAAATCAATTGAGAAAGAAAAATTGCATTTTCGCTGCCGCGGCCAAAACGAAAATAAGTGAAAAAAATAGATATATATATATATATTAAGTGCGTTCGTGTGTGGTGTGTGTGTGTGTAAGGAAACAAAGTGGAATAAGCAGAGGCAAGCAGCAGAAATAGCAAAAGGAGACACAGCAGCAGCAGCAGCACCAGCGAAGACGACGACAACAACAACACCAAGAGAAACCCGCCGCCCCATCAGTCGAGACAGAGCGGCCAGTAATAAAGAGCAGAAAAAAAATGAGTTCAAGTTGTGAAAGGTGTGTGCCGTTACACTACAACTAGCATTACAACAAATGGCAGCAGCAGCATTAACAACAACAGCAACAACAACCTCTAGCTAGACAACGCAAATGTCGAAATTGTGTATACAATTTATTAAGAAAGCAAGCGGCAGCAGCAACAATGCAGATGCTTTTGTTAAATAAATTGTCTTGAATGCAGAAAATTTCAATGCAGAGTGCAGCTGGGTGGTGGGTGGCGTTCGCAAGAGAGAGAGAGAGAGTGTCAGAGCGTGAGAGGTAAAGGAGTCGGGGCGGGCCAAGTCCTCCTCTTTAAGGCGAGCCGCCTGCCGCTTTGACAGCTGCGTGCTGAAGAGAGTGTGTGAGTTAGTGCGTGTGTGCGTTCGTTTGGGTTGCTGGTGAGCCGCCCTCTACCCGGTCTCTCCCTGCATTTCTTTAGCTTGATTATATGCTAGTCTCGAGGCCGGCCCGGCCGTGGTCTTCGGCAAATTTATGCATTTTTTGGCTTTTGAGCCAAGCGTGCCTGCAAAATCGATTTTCTTGCAAGGCGCGGCAACAAGCGTCGTGCTGCCAAATATGCCAAAAAGAGAGCCCAGCCATGGCTGACACCCTCTCTTGCTCGCTCTCACTCCTTATTTCCCACTGTGTGTGTGTGTCTATGTGTGTGTGTAGGAAAGGACGGCCCCGCTGCAATTTTCAAATAAGGAAAAACCGGAAAACGCTTGACAAAATGTGCCTGTGTGTGTGTGAAGAGAAAAGCCCAATTGAGTGTGGGGGAAAACCAGACAAACACACACACGACACGCACAATAGTATCTATATAATGAATGAGATCTTACGCACAAAAGCCGAATTTGGTCAGCTTTTTTTCCGTATAGAAATTTGTCGCAACGAATGAATGAATTGACAACAGCGGAAGGGGGTGGACTTTTTCCCGTTCTTTTTGAGATTTCCCTTTCCTGCAGATTGCTCCTTTTAGCAGTGTTGTTGCTGTTGCTTTTTGTATGAGATATTTCTCTTCGCTTTGCTTTGGTAAGAGTGTGTTGTTTTTATTGCTGTTGGAGGGGCGTGTATTACAAAATATCTTGTACTTACGGTGCATGAAGAGGAGCGCACGGGCGTGAAGAGCATTCCTGAAATGCTTTTTTGGGCGCTCTAAAATAGAAGCAATCGCATTTTATGTCTTATTTATGTGTATTTTTCTTGCTCGCTCGCTTGCTTGCTATCCGTCCTTGTCTCATCATCTGTATCACTTTCTCTCTTTTTGGCCTTACAGAATAGAATGGGTAGAAATCATCGAGCCACGCACCAAGGAGCATATGTATGCCAATCTCACAACTGGCGAATGCGTTTGGGATCCACCAGAAGTAAGTTATTCCATTTTATTATATTCTAAACACTTTTAATCAGTGGAGCAATCTCCAGCAAAGAGAGAGATGTATACTAAGAGAACTTTAACATAAGATCACTCGCTCTCCTCTCACGGGGTTCATTAACCCTCCAAGGCGCTGTGTGTTGGGTGGATCTCTCAACTCAATGATTAGATGAACAATTTGTTTGTCCGGCTGGTTTCTTAATTATTATTCTGGGTCACTTGTTTGCACAATTTTCATGCTTGTGGTTTGGCTTGCAAATTTTCATAACCCAGTTCGTAAAGTGGCGTGACCAAGGTTAATTATATTAAAATATCTGTCGAATGATATAACTATTCTGATATAACAGCCAGAGAAAGCGTTTGCCGTCTTGAAGTGAATTCTTTGATAAATTTGTTTTTTCACGTCTCCTTTCAATCTGGGGCGTGCTTAAAATTTCCTTTTCTTCGCTACCTTTCATCTTTAAAAGCTCACATTCTCTTTTTCTTGATTTTTTTTCCATCTTCTAGAGCTACATTTTCTCTTTACTTGCTGCCTTTTATCCTTCATAACTAAGATTTTCATAGAGTATATTTTCATTTCCCTATTTTAAACCAAAACTAACATTTTCATAGAATATTCTTTGCTTTTTCCCCATTTTAAATCAAAACTTTTCCTTTTCAAGACAGCAAAAAAAAAAATAAAATAAACTAGAAAGTTGGAAATTGTTTGCTCAAAACCTTTTCCCTCTCTTGCTTCTTTTCCTTATGCTTTGGTTCCGCCACTCTTCCATTTTCCTGCTGGCTTTCCTAATGCGGCAACTCCTAAAAGGTGTTGCAGGCTAATAACTTCGGTCTCGCCCGCAGGCAGCCATACAGCCAAAGCAGAAAGGCAAACACAGACCTGGTTATCCTCATTTTGCCTCTATACGGTTTCATTTTTTTTTTGTGCCCTCTCAGTGCCGGAAGTAGTGAAAATTTCATTGATTTTGTTGGCTCCAATGTCCTCGTCGACTGCTGCCGGACGGCCTCGTTTCGCTTCTGATTGCACTCACACATGCAGTTTTGTGTGCCTGTGTGAGTGTTTGTACTGCTTCCTTAATGAGAGTCCTGCTTGCATGCTGAGAGAGTGCAGCAGTCCGTGTTTGCCTTGGGCCTGGCCGTCCATGGGTGTCCGTTTGACGCCATGATTTATTGCATGTGGTCTGGTGCCTGACCCTTTCCCATATCTCCTCCTCATCCACATCTGTGTGTGTGTGTGTGTGCGCGCTTGTGCTTTCTCTCTGCCTCTCTGTTACTCTTTCGAGTGTTTATTTGTGTGCATTTCATTTCGGTTTTTGTCACTCTCACTCTCTGTTTGAGTCATCGACAACGTCACCCACACACGCAGACACAGACGCAAACATACCGTTCTTGCTGTTGGCCATGGGGCGGCGCTAAAGCCTATATGACACTTACCGAAAGCAACGTAGAAGAGAGATGTCCCCCCCTGATCCATTATACCTGTCCAGTTTGTATACCATTAAGAAAATTAGTCTCACTGACCGCGTGTAATTTTGTAATTTTGAACATTAAGTAAGTGTCATACCTGGTCCCACAAAAGCGAACACAAGAGCAGAAAAACGAACAAAATATAGGTAAATATCAATGGCTGTGTTTGATCAGCAGGGTTAATTAATGATGATTAGCGGCAGCATATTCCATATTTGCGTAATACATTTCCCCATTAGAGAATCCTCCTTCTATATCTCCTATTTCTTGCGTGTGCGCTCTCCCTAAGCAGCAGCAGAAGCCCGCCCTCAATTCAGTATCTGATTGCAGCGACGTCAACGTAAACGTCAGCGTCAGCGTCAGCAGTGACGCCAGCTGCACTGCAATTGTTGCTGCTGCTTCCCCTTCAGCGCTGCTGCTGCGGAAGCGAATCCTTTTCACTGCGCAATATAATCTAAAGAATTTATGCAGAGCAGCGTGAAAAAGACATTATTAAAGGAGTCAAGCGGGCAGGGGGGGGGGGGGGATCACACTCCACTTCCTCTTTACATCCCCCCCACCGATGCTTCCGCTTGCCTCTCTTTGCCATCATTATGCCACCCCCGCAGTGCTGTCTAACGTGCTCGAAATTAGCAACATTCTCTCTGCTTGTCCATACCCTTGCAGCGACAGGGTATTTTTATTTTGGCCAGATGTTTGTAACGCACGGGGGAAATACGCATTTACGACCCTATAACGTGAATATATTCGTGATTATAACTAAAAACGGAGTCAATATAGCCATAGTTTTTAAAATAGCTTGGCCAAATTTAATCAAAATCATATAAATATATTAGTAGGAAGGTTCGAAAGGTGTATTAACCGCGTGAGGTGGTCTCTTAGCTAAAACTCCTTTCGTCTGCTGTTGAAAGTTTTTCTCTGCCTGCCTGCTGCTGTTGCTGCTGCTGTTCTTGTTTTTGTTGCTGTTGGCCAACTTGCAGCTTTTTGTTTTAGCGACGCTGCCGCGCGCTGCTTTTGTTGTAGCGTGCTGCGCTCTTTTTGGTGTCACCAGCAGAAAGCTGAAGCAGCAGCAGCAGCAACAGCAACAAGAACTTGCGGACTGCGTTCATTGTACGTGATTTGAAATTTATTCACAGTTGGGACTACTCTTTTTTTGTGTGCTTCTCTGTGTGCTTTTTATTATAACTCGACATTACACCCTGCCATACCCTGTGCCCCTCTCTCCTAGGGCGCTTTGTCAACTCTTTCCTAATACTTTTTTCTGTTGTTGCTTTTTGCTCGTTTGCCTTTGTAAAACTTCCGGTTAATAGGGACCAGCAGAAGCAGAAGAAGTAGCAAAAGAAGACAGCGACAGCAGAGTGAGAGGAAGCAGCAGAAGAAAGCATACAAGAAAAAGTAGCTGCCCTCACGACGAACGTCGCTCGTTTCATGTTACAAAAATTCGCCCCGAACGAGCAGGCCGGCCCCCGAAGCCAGGCAAAACGATAATGTTCACGTGTGTCCGCCGGCGTCACCCAAAACCAGGTGAAGCGAGGGGGCCCCAACACGATGAGGGTAAACCAAAAGCGGCGCCGGTGGTTAAGGCTCCTCAAATATGGTCAGAGCCCGATCTGGGCTTCCACTCTTGGCCTTCCAACAGGTCGCAGTGCGCAGTGGGAGAAACGGTGGTGTCACTGCTGCTACGCAATCGTCAAAATATTTCAAATTGTTATTAGTCGGTAATGTGTGTTGGGTATATTCGACTTGAGAGGGCTCCTTCATCCTTTAATATGAATACTGTAATTGGAATGTATTCATCATTCAGGCATGGTACTCACAAGATTATGCAGGGAAAACTCGCTTGAGTGGGTATTTCCCCCTTCTCTACCCACCATTAGGCTAATATAGACGATAGTCCTGCATGTTAATCACTCTCTTCTGTGTCTGGTTTTACTGTAGATGCATCTCGGCTGCACTCCCTCCCTGTCTGCTGGGTATGTCATAAATCGATTACTTGCCCCCTCTCTCGAGCTATTGGCCATAGCCTTCTTGGGCAAGGTATGGCTTCCTGTCTTGGCCAAAGTGTGCTTTTGGGTTACACACACACACACACACACACACACAGGCACATACCATCTAACCATCTCTTCCGCGTTGTTTGGCATAGTTTGAAAGCAATTACAAACCCAATTAAATGTGCATAAATATTGCTAATGAATTTTGTGGCTATTAGAGATACTTTCAGGCATGAAATAAGAAATTGGGAAATGCCTCCATGCCCTACATGAGAAGTGAGTGTGGGGGGGGGGATACATGAAAACTGTCTACTGTGGGGCTGGTGGCTGGTTGCTGGTGGATGACGTGCGATCTATATTCGTTGGCTGGTATTTGCTTAGTCACATTTTATGAGTTAGCTTCAAGCCGCGATAAGACCTCCTCCATTATAACCCACACAGATTCATTTGAATATGACAACAAATCAGGCATATTTATTTGTTTGATTAACGATTATTGATATTGCACACATTTCAATTTCATTTTCGATCTCAGAATAAATTTCGCTGTGCGCGCAAACAGCGAACTGGTAGAAGAAAACCCATAAATAAGCTTAAGACTAGGCTCTCTGGCACTGCCCCCGCGCGCCCGTAGATCTATAAATAAATTATTGGTAATGGGAATGGGCATATTCCGGAGATCAGAATTCCGCCTGCTGGCTCCCTCGAGAATGTGAAACATGTGGACAACGTTTCGATAATTCCTCTCTGCCTCTGTCCTCTGCCTCTGACTCTGTCCTCTGCCTCTGGCGATTATCTATAAATCTAGAGACCTTTGATGGTTATTGCTTTTGTCTGGATTGCACCAAGAAATTCTCTGATCGTATTAAAAGTTTCCGATAATTCGAAATAACTTCTATGCATGTGTCCATCGCTTTTACTTCCAACGGCAAACCCCCAAACTCCGTTTTGGGTAGCCAACAATTCAATTCCATTCATTGGATACCATTTTGGGGGGACACATTCCATTCGAATTCGCACAACTCTTTGAACAGTAGTCTGGCCAGACAACTCATTCATTAGTCCCTCAGATGTTATCGGTGGCTCCATTGGTGGGGGCTATTTTCAGATCTCTGCTTGCTGGGCTTCAAATATTCGCTCTGATGATGACCTAATTTACAAAAAAAAAAAAACAACAACAAAAATACGGAAAAACGAAATACATTTCTGTTCAATTTTATTTGTTTTTTAGGCGTATGTATTTCTGTGCGTCTGTGGATCATTTAATTTAATGTTGGCTATTTTTTCCAAGCATGATTCACTTTCGGATCGAACGGAAGGAGGCGGGAGGGAGTGTGGTCCATAACTGACCTCGGCAACAGTGTTACGGCCAGACCCCAACCACAACCCCACCCCATTGGAAATCTCGTGCTTGCGCCACTCTTTGTGGCCCGTCCACCATTTGCCGCTGATTAAAGTTGGAATTGTTTTTCAATAAGTGCCCAGACTGCCGGACCCAGAGCAGAGCAGCGTAGCGAACATCTCTATCTATTCCGTGGAATACTTAGTGTGGCAAATTGAAGGCAATAGATAACGCCACGAAATGCATTACATGCGTAAGAATGTTCTATATATAAAGTTATAGCGCTCTCCCATTGGCACAATCAGCTGATCGTCAATTGGGGGAAATTAGTGAGGTTTGATTGGGGCAAACATAATGGCATTAACATCATCATCATTCTTATATCTTAATTCTATTCTTGTTTTTGCCAGCTCAGTTGGAAAATTGTATATATGTACAACTTTTCCATGCTTCATAATAATAATTGTGTGGATGACAAACAGAAACCGCCTCTCTATATCTTGGATATATCTTTTGAGGTCTTTCATCTTCAATCTGATGGAACGGCATGAGTAAGAATTGTGAGCAGAGTTTGCCATAACAAAAAACAAATCATGTTGATGCTTTAATCCCATACAAATATTACGAAAATATGAAGGAAATTTGACGAGTTCTTTTCACATTTTTTGCCCAAGTCAAGTGCAATGCTCTTGAACGCATTCTTCTCCTCTTCCTACAGCACAAAAACAATGAAATTTTTGGTGCGGGGAACAGCTGAATGGCAAAACGAAAATCCAGTGTCAGAGTATATGGGAATACTCGGTATTTGGATATATTTAAAGCAAGAAAACTACCAAAAAAAAAATGTTTCAAATAATAAGGGAATTATTTAATTATTTATTATTTAATTATTTAATTTTATCTTTTAATGAAACACTTTCATAACTTATTTTGCTGGCATAATATTGAGGTCTAAAAAACTACCATATCTAGGGGAATTCTGACATCTTATGGTAAAAAAAAAACACTATTTACTCGGTTTCCACATGTTAAATCTACTCCTATGGGGTATACAAAGTTCCATCAATCTAAAATAATATTTTATGTTCTCTGCCAGATGTGATAAAGATGTAGGCCATAGACCATCCCATAGTAGGCACTCTCCACTTCCAGCCCATTGTTGTTGTTGCTATATTTCCATAATTACAAAAAAATATTTGGAATATCGTACAAGGCCATAAATGAGGGCGAGTCGAGTCGAGTCGACTCGAGTTGTTGGATGTTTCTTAGTTAAATAGTAAAATCTCTCTCTCACGCTACTGAAAGGTAGAGGGAAGATCTGATAAGTAGTGGGGGCATCTGGACAAACTGGATGACTGACTGACTGACTGACTGACTTGCCGGACTTGACTGACAGTTGGAAACGCAACAATGCGAAAAGCGTAACGAGACGACATTGCCATCGCTGGCTGGCATCCCAGTCCCATCGCATAGCATAGCATTGTGGCCCCCCTACTGATGAGTAGCCTTGCCCCAATCAGCGTCTGGTCGCGCCCACAAATTATGCAACATGCGACGCGCAGTTGAGTGGCGGCTCCCGGCTGCTCTCCTCCCCCCCAAATGGAAATGGAAATGGTAATGGAATACCAGAAATGAAAAGCAGCCAAGCTGAAAGCTTTCATTTGCAATGGACAGCAGCAGCAGAGGATTGGGTGCAGTTGCAACCACAATAACAGTAACAGTAGCAAACCAGCAACAAAAGCTGCAGATTAAAAACGAGCGTGGGTCAGGGCTGGGGGGGCGGGACACAGCACAGCAGGGTATGTTACAGAAAGGGTAAGGCACTCAAGAGAAACATATCGAGCGAGATATAGAAGGGCGACGTGTACCCTTACCTACTACATAGTGTACCTTGGCTTGACATCTCCTGCTCTGCTGCCGCCTTCTCCCGCCTTCCCCCCTCCCTCCCTTCCTACTCTTCAACTTTCTGCCTCTTTCCACTCTTTAGCTCTGCTCTTCATATCCCATTTTGAGGTCCGGGGCCCTGTGCTTTTACTGTGGGCAGGCGCATCTGCAGTGCAAAAAGTTCAAGGTCAGCCCACGCTGCAGCAGTAGCAACAGCAGCAGCTGCTGCTGCTGCATGCATTTTGCAGAAATAACCCTGACTTCTCTGACAGAAAGAGATGCCAATTCAGAGCCCACACAGGGAGAGAGAGAGGGAGAGAGAATGAGAGCGAGATGGAGCGGATTAAACACACGCGCCTCGTGGACAAGGCCATTGAATGGGCGGGCAGGGGGTAGCGCGTAGGCTGTGCGGTAGGGGGGAGTGGCTGTGCCAGGAATACATCGAGAAACCTTGTTGTTTGTCAAGGCACTTGTTGTATTTGCTCTGGCAGATAAAACCCTTCAGATTCAGATTAAAACCACACACAAAGCTCTTTGTGCACGCTCTCTCCACCTCCCTCTCTCTCCACCTCCCTCTCTTTCAAGTTTGCTGATTAAGCCGAAAAGAAAAGCTCTTGTGTGCAAAAAACAAAAAAAAAAGAAATACCAAAATAAATTCGTTTTGTGTAATTGTTGGTTATAATTCAAGAGGTTCGGTTGAGTGAGCGGGGGGTGAACGCAACAACAATAGAGGATCCAACAACGGAGGCGACTTATCATTCATTGCCCAAGACATCGCATAATGTCCGCTGTGTCTGTCCGTCCGTCTGTCTGTCTGCCTGTCTGCCTGTTGGGTCCAGTGTCAGTTCTGTTGAAATTTTTGGTGTGAGACAGATGTGTGGAAACGTGCCAAAGTCTGTATGGCGATAAGATGACAAGCGAACTACAAACAAACATACGTACATACATAAAAAAAAGTAGAAACTATTTAAGCTTAACTGAATTGGAAACGAAAACAGAAACATTCAAAAGAAACAACAAAAGCTTCCATTTTATATAGATTTATTAGGTTTTATCTATTTTTTAAAGAATTATGGTTTTTTTCTATGGCAGAACTTTTTTTAAAGAATTTTTGAAAACTGGTATTTTTTTTTTAAGCTTTTTTCATTTCAAGGGTTGTACATTTGGTACCTGATCGCGTTCCTTTGTTCCCAATTGGCAGTTGGGCCCGCCGCCTTCAAAAAGGTATTTTTTGTTCATTTTTTCCATATTTTAGGTTTGGTTAACGAATTTTAGCTCCAAAGTCTCTCCATAGATTTTAATGAGCGATACCTTAAACGACGCCAAATTAACGCACCTATACACGAAAAAATAGAGGACACAAGATATAATTTTTTTTCGACTTTTCCTGAGTTTTTAAAGTCAAAATTTCGTAAAAAATACCCCACAAAAATCATCATTTTTGCATTTCAACGTTACCTCTGAAAAAAGCTTAAAAAAAAAATACCAGACTTCAAAAATTCTTCAAAAAAAAGTTCTGCCATAGAAAAAAAACCATAATTCTTTAAAAAATTTTAAAGCCCCATATCTATCAGAAAAAGTCGGTTTGGATCCTTGAGGAAAAAAAAAGTTCGATTTTGTCGAGTAGTGTAATCAATGACTCTATCATTTTTATAGGGGACTCAAGGGTATTATTTTATTTGTGGTAAAAGTGGATTTGTGCAACGTAGAATATACATTGTAGATGTAGATAACAGATAAAGCTAAATGTTTGAAGTATTTTTTTTTTTAAAAAAAATTTATATACTGACTGAGTACGGGTATAAAAGTAGAGTCGCGTCTCCAGAAGCGACTCACACGTTCCTTCTTGTTAAGGTTTGTTTCGATTATCTTTCTTTATTTATTCATATGTTTGCATAGATAGATGATAGATAAATATGAATCTGGGTTTTGATACTGCAAATGCTTTCTTCGCTCTCTTTTGCCAACAGCTGATCGGCATGTAAATGTACATCATTAATCAGCTGATGTAGGCCTCTCTGCTTGTACGAATTCTAAGGCTGAGTCATGGGAGGAGCCACTGACCATCAGTAGTTCCTGAAGTTCCTAACACTGACCTACTCGTAGTCTTTATCATCCCTAAGTGCTCGCTTAATACCAGAATCAGATGCTGGTTTCCACATTCCCCAAGTTACCCCGATTCGCCCACCTACGTATAAAACATAAATAATAATAATAATAATCCAAGCTACTACTATAATGATTTGCCACGCGTTTCATCTCGTTCCATCTCGTTTCGTTCCCGTACCCGTACCCGTTCTCATTCCCGTTCCCGTTCCGTTTTGTCGCATTACAGGATGTGCCAATTAAGCGGACCGACTCATCGCAGTGGTGGGAACTGTTTGATACGAATACGCAACGATTCTACTACTATAATGCGGCCACGCAGAAGACCGTGTGGCATCGGCCGAGCAAGTGCGACATTATACCGCTGGCCAAGCTGCAGACGCTCAAACAGAACACCGATCCCAGTGAGCGGCGGGAGCAGACAACGCCCCAGAAGCATCCACCGCCGCAGCAGCAGCCAACACAGCTACAACCACAGACACAGACACAACCACTGCTGCAGCAACAGCAACAGCAGCAGCAGCATCTGCCACAGCAGGCATCGCCCATGTCAGGGCCAAATAAGAAGGGGCGTGGCCAGCGTATCAGCGGCGGTAATGGTACAGTGGCCAGCTCCGAGGAGAAGCTGCCCGGCACTGGCACTGGCACTGAAATGATCTCTAGTCCGCGTGGACGCCAAAGCTTTCGGTGAGTTGAGTAAACCCTTTGGCCTGCCTCCAGCCAGTTTGTTTATACATATATACATACATATATGTATGTGTATGTGTGTGTGTGTATCTGTGTTTACATTCCATTTGGGGGCATCGTTTTGCAGCGTCGGCACAGGTGACTCATCCCGCTCGATGGACCTGCAGCAGCAGCAGCAGCAGCAGGCCTACGCCTCCAGACGTTCACAAGGTAAGCGGCAGCGGCTCTGCTCCTTTATTTTGGCTTTTTGGAAGATCGAAATAAAATGACTCACTCCTGAATTGTTCTTGTTTCACACAGACTCCTGCAATCACTACAAGGAATCGGGCAAATCCAGTGACTCGAGCCTGTCCAGTGCGCATGGCTATCGACGCTTCAACGATGCGGGCAATGGCATAGGCGGAGTGCCAGCAGCAGCACCTGGCCACGCCGAGAGCTTGCGGCTGGGCTCCCTGCAAAAGCATCAGCGCAGCGGCGGCAAGGATAATGGAGCGTAAGTGGACCCTAAACACCCTTAAAGTCTCTCCGCCTCATTCTCATTAGCCACATTTTAATGCTTGTCCCCTGGGTTTCGGTGCGCCTATAGCTTTGAAATGTTGCAAGAGAGCGTCAGCTCGCATAATTTACCGCATGGCACCACAACGTCCAACACATCCTCATCGTATATTGGTGGCGGCACGGGCACGGGGATGGGCACTGGCACGGGCACGGCCACGGGCACGGGCAGTGGCAGTGGCTATGGCGACAAGTACTTTGATCATCAGCTTCTGCCCAATCATATGCAGGGCTATTGCTCATCCAAGTCATCGGACATTGCCTCGCCCACCCACTCCATACATACGCCGCAGTCGCAAAAGAAGAAGATATCGCCAGATGCAGCGCCTACGGCCACGCCGTACAATTACGCACAGCAGCAGCATCAACAAAGGCACGCACAACGCACTGGAGGAGGTGGAGCAGGCGTAGGCGGTGGCGGCGGAGTTGCAGGAACGCCAGTGGGTAAATCTTATGGCGGAGGTAAAGTGAAATGAACTTTGTTGTGCTGCTTTCCATTCTAAACCAATCTGACTTTTCCCCCCGCATTGTAGATCGCGAGTACAAAGTGTCGTTGGCCCGCTCCGGCAGCTTCATGTCTTCCTCGATCAATCCCGCTGCCGCTGGACATCACAGCAAATCCTATCGCAAGAGCAGCGCCGAAGCGGCCAATGGCGGGGCAGCCAGCGATGATTCAATGCACGAGAAGTATTTCAAATCGGTGGAGAATACGCCACTGTCCAGGCGACGGCACACAACCAATGCCACAAAGAGTGGCAGTGCGGGGGGCGGCGGTGCCAGTGGCAGCAATACAGCCACAAGTACAGCGGGCAGCGGCAGCAGCAGCCACAAGAAGCACTCGAGCGACTCGAGTCCACAGAGTCCGATTAGTCCGCAGACAAAGAGCTCGCGGCAGGCCAAGACGAGTGCCACGAATCCGCTGCCCCAGCTGCAGCACTCGCCCAGGATCCAGGAGCCCAGTCACAGTCTGGATCTGCTGAGCCTCGAGCGGATCACGCTGGGCAAGGCGGCGGCACCCATCTCGCCTGGCGGCGGAGCAGGCACCGAGAATCTGGGCCTGCTGACGCACTCTTCGCGTGGCTCCAATGACTCTGCCCGGCAGCGCCAGAAGTCCAACAACTCGACGGCAAATCGCTCGCAAACGCATCATTATCCCGGCCAAGGATCGCTGCGGCACAGCGCCAGCTCCAGCCTGGACAAGCGTGGTGGTGGTGGTGGTGGCGGTGGTGGTGGCTACCACCACAGCGGTGTGGCAGAGAAGCGACGCTCCAAGCAGCAGCAACAGCAGCATCACCTGCAGGCGGAGAACAGCGATGCAGAGTACGACAATGGCAACACTTCGCCGCTGTACAGCAACTGGGATCAGGAGATGCCGCATCTGTGGGAGATGCAGCACTACATCATCGAGCAGGCGAAGCTCTCGGGTCGCTATGACTATCGCGTTGGCGATGGCAACGACTCGGACTCGTATCACTCGGACAGCCAGTCGGAGCATTCGCTGTCTGGCCATGAGCCGGACAACGAGGACTCGGATGGCGGCTCCGATACGCACGGTGGCTACTTGGAGCACAACTATGGCATGATCGAGGATTATGCCAACATGGGCGACAGTGCCTCCTACTATGCGTATCAGTATCCGCCATATGATCCTGCTGGCAGAGAGGATATGTAAGTTTGGGCGCCCATAGAACGAGCAAAGCCAAAATTAATTCCACTTTTCTTTCCCTATACCAGTTCCGATAATGTGGAGGCTGTGCTCGAGGGGATTGGCGGCAATGCGGAACCCTCAACGCAACCCTCTGTGCCCAAGCCAAAGCCTCAGCCTCTGCCTCAGCCTCGCTATCAGTTCGCACACTATGACACCGTATCGCACAGTCCCTCGGCCGGCGGCGCCTACCATGGTCAGCAGCTTTACTCGAATACCCCACCCTATCAAGGTCATGGTCATGGGCATGGCCATCACGTCCAGCCACCGGCACCGCCGCATCAGCAGCTGCATCTGGATCCGAGCGACTCCAAGCAGAAGCAATCACAAACGCTGCCCTCGCCCAATCGTCAAATCTCGCGTCTGGCAGCAGCCGGCAGCCATCAGGGATCGGCAGCAGCAGCAACAGCCACAGCATCAGCCAAAGATGAGGCCAATCATGGCCCCCACAGCCATAGTCTGGTTGCCGGACAACAGCAGGGCACGGCCGCTAGCTTGTCACGTGCGGGTGGCCATAAGCTGGCACCGCCATCGCTCAAGCCCACCATACAGCAGATCTTTCCGCCCAGCGATCGGGCACCGGGTGGCATCAATAGCGGTATGGGACACGGCGCCACGCTGGCCTGCATGAAGGAATGTGATATCGAGAAGTTTGCCGCCGACAATCTGAATCTGCACTCGAAGGGCATCTTCCGGAAGAAGGCATCGGTGCGGGATATGCTCAGTTGGACGGCGGAGGCCATCAGTCGGCCCATGCTGACCCTGTCGCGGGACAAGGCTGACAAGAAGACGGCCATTGAGCTGTTCAAACTGGTCCAGATCTACATGGCTGATCGAAAGGCACGCATGGGCATGAATCTCAATTCGGTGGCCATTGACATCATCACCGCATCCTTGCCGCAGCAACAGTGAGTCTTTTAAGTCTATGGAAATGGTCTCTAAATGTCTGTGTATTTTCCCTATATCCCTTGCAGATTAAGGGATGAGCTGTATGTGCAGTTGTGCCGCCAAACGACGGAGAATCCCAAGCGAGAGTCGCTCATACGTGGCTGGGAACTGATGGCCATTTGTTTGTCCTTTGTGCCGCCTTCGCCCACCTTTCAGCCCACGCTGCTCAAGTATGTTCCCACCTATTCCATCTCTCTGACTTGCTTTTATTATTCAACACAAATTGTATTGCCCCTTGCAGCTATGTGAATCGCCATAGGGATCCTTCGTTTGCCACCAGCTTCATGGAGGTGTGCAAGTGGCCCATTCATGTGCAGATCTCGCATTATGCGACAGTCTGCTGTCGTCGCTTGGATCGCATAGGCAGCAGCGGCAGAAGACTGGCCAAAAAGCCCACAGAAGATGAGGTGGAACAGGCGAGGGTGAGTCGCAAACAATAATGATAATTTAAATCCCAATATCTAAGCGATTTTTATTGCAGCAACAAATCCTGCGGAACAGCATGTTTGGCAATACGCTGTCAGAGGTGATGGACCTGCAAAAGGATAAGTTTCCATTTCGCAAGTTGCCCTGGATACAGACCACACTGTCAGAGCATGTGAGTAGCCGCCCAACAGCAGTGTGCCCCAGGGAAGTTCTCTTAAACGTTTGGGGGTTTCTTTCAGGTTCTGCTGCTTAATGGCAAGCAAACGGAGGGCATATTTCGCGTCTCAGCGGATGTGGATGAGGTGAGCTGCATGAAGAATCGCCTGGATCGGTGGGATGTTCCTGACTATAAGAACACAATGGGTAAGGGGCATAATAATGCAACCAACCAACCAACCAACCATTGGTAGAGCTTACTAAGCAGAGTGTTCCTGCCATTGCCGTTTCAGTTGATGCCCATGCCCCAGCGAGCCTGCTTAAGCTGTGGTATCGCGAACTGTATGATCCGCTTATACCGGATGCCTATTATGAGGATTGCGTGAATACCGAGGATCCCGACAAAGCCAAAGAAATATTTACTAAGTTGCCCGAAATAAATCAGCTGGTGAGTGTTTTATGGGCAGATCTAAACAAGAGAGAGCAGCTTGTAAATGATTCGATTGGATTGGATTGATTTGATTGGCTTGGTTTGCAGGTTCTAACGTATCTAATACACTTCCTGCAACAATTCTCCATTCCGGAGGTGGTGAGCAATACCAAAATGGACTCCTCGAACCTGGCCATGGTATTTGCACCGAATTGCCTGCGCTGCACATCCGATGATCCCAAGGTGATATTGGAGAATGCGCGCAAGGAGATGTCGTTTATGCGCACCCTAATACTGCACATGGACACCACAAAAGTGGAGAATCTGGTCTAGAATACAAACTACTACCTACCCTAACCCTACCTACCCTACCTATCTACCTATCTACCTATCCCTATATGTAAACGTTATTAACCTATCCTAGCTTTACTCTACACCAAAAAACAAAAAAAATCTTAACTTAAACTTGAATTTCTACAATCGGAAACGAAGGAAAGAATCTTAACTATTACTTTAATGTTGAAACTCATTTTGCTGCTCGCATTTTCTCCAGTCTAATTGCTATCCAAAAACTCGAATTTTATTATTATTATTATTTTTTGTATTGTCTAGGCAGCTTGTTCAGAACAAACAGCAGCAGCAGCAGCAAATCACACACTCGAAATACTCGAAGAACTTGCAACATTTAGTGCTTTTTGAAACCAAAAAAAAAAAAAAAACAAAAACGAAAAGAATATGAAGAATGAAAAATGAAAATAAGATAACCAAAACTGTTAACTCAATGTGTGCATGCCTAGTTATGTGTCAAATTGTAGTTGAATTAATTTAATTTGCATTTCGAATTATTGTGTTTATTAACTTTAAATGGAATTTAAATCAAAGCAAAGGCAAAACCAATACTCAAAGCAACTCTTAACTCTCAAAAAAGAAATAAAAATAAAAGAAAAGAAAAGCAAAGCAAACCTTGAACAACTTCTTGCAGAAGCCTATAAATAGTTCTAAAGTAAAGATAAACCTAAAGATAAATATATAAATATAAATATTAAAGAATAACAAATCTATATATGTATGATGTATGTATGAAATGATGGGCAGCAACACAGAGAGAGAGAGAGAGAGAGAGAGAGAGAGAGAGAGAGTGGAAGAGTGGAAGAGAAGTGAATCAAATGAAATAAGAGGTTAATGATAAAACTGCTTATAAATTACATTTGCAGCCAACGTAGTGCTATATACAAAATATTTATTCAATTTGCATAAAAAAAAAGAAATACAAATTAAATTAAATTAAAAGTACCCGTAAATAAACCAATAAACAAATTGTTCAAATCCAACAAACAAACCAATTACAATGGACAACAAAAACTCAACTGAAACAGAATATAAATGTATACATATAAATATATTGTATGGGCGAGCGACACATGTTTCGAAGGGAAGGTGATCGAATAAAGTTATATATGTATAAATTAAAAAGCCTACACCGCAAATGTTAAATATATTTCATTCGAGTCTTATCTGCTCTGTCCACATGCCTACTATAAGTCGGGACACATTATAAATTCAGGCAGCTCTTCCTTGGGCACAATTTATGCCCAATTTTGAAGTCATTTCGAACCGTTTGTCTCCTGATAATTGCTAATAATTTAGCGTCACTTGACGACCTAAAGCCCCCACACAGCCCTGGGCACCTTATCAATAGAGAGACAGCAAGAGAGAGGGGCAGACAGCTGGTACTGTGTGCAGAGCCCCCGTCAATACCTTGGGCCATACACCAAAAAAAATATATATTTCACTATTTCCATATACATACATACCTTGCACCTTTTATTTTGTGTGTGTGTGGCTTATCAGCCTTCATTATTCATTATGTTCGTTTAATTTGGCTTAAAGCACAAAATTGTTTGTAAATGGCAGTTATAGCCTTACCATTGAGTGGTACCCAAAACCCCCCACTCGAACTGTTCATACACACTCGTACCCGCACTCGTATATCGCGATAGTTGTGAGCACTCACTCACACTCACCTTGTGATCTATCATAATATGGCCGCGTGCTAAATTGTATATCTTTTAGTTGGATAGGATTGTGTTTATAGGGTGGGGAGTTACACAACTGATTCTATGATTGCAAGAAGCAAGTGCCAACATTAATGATGAATCTGATGCTTTGCTAGTGCATATAGGGAACGATATTACATACATACATACTTCCTATACTTCCTAGATGTTCGTAGAATATTCATGACTGCTGAAGAGATATTCTTCTTTGTATGATCAAAGTTTTTATTTTTTTTTGTGTATTTGGAAGATATAAAAGCTAGAATTATATAAATTACTATAGCATCTATCTTTCTATAACGCTAAAAGAAATACCTTTAATTGAAAGAGTTTGGCCAGCACTATTATTTTTGAATGATAAGTTTATTTTCCGCTTTTTAGCGCATTATAAAAGATACATTTATGTAGATAGAGTTCCCTAAAATTATTATTCCCCTTCTCTGAGATAGGCGTTTTTTTTTTTTAATATTTGTTGGGAAAGATATGATGAATTCTGTTCCCTGAATGTCGTTGCATATAAAACCCAACCCTTATTTGAACAGTCATGTGAATTCGTTCATTTATTATGTGAATTTTGGTAGAATCATAAAACTTAATCGGCAATCGATTGCGTGTATTTTATTGCCCGATTCAGCCAAAGAACCCCCACCACAACAATCTATTTGTAAATTGGTTCAATCATATTTAGTTTCTAAGGAACTCTATCGGAATGAATACTCGTCGTGTATTGCCTGAACTCAAACCAAATTGAGTCACTGAGGTTAATCTTTTTCGAGAGTTTAGCCATTCTAAAGCGCGCGTCATGAGCCTTTAGTGAGTCCCTGAGCCTTGAGTGAGTCCCTGAGCCTTGAGTGAGTCCCTGAGTCATGAGTGAGTCCCTGAGCCTTGAGTGAGTCCCTGAGCCTTGAGTGAGTCCCTGAGCCTTGAGTGAGTCCTGAGCCTTGAGTGAAAACTACTCCTTTCAGTGGTTCCATCGTGTGAAATGAAAACATGATAATATTATCATCCTTTCAATAAAATAAAATATATTCCAGTGGCCCTGTGAATAGCCCTCGTTCCTCGTTCAAAGTACAGCCAAATTATCTGGAAGATACATTCAGTTGTTGTTGTTGTTGTTGTGGGGGCGACCTGAAAAACAATATCAGAGTGGTATCTATCTGGTGAAACTGTTGAATCAACAGCAATAACAACAATTAGAAGCATTTATAGACGCAGTTTGGTTTTTGGTTGTTTTTTTTTTATCGCCAAAGCAAAGGCCGAAATCAAAAGTAATCCATCATCTGGGTGGCTTTAAGGGGGAGCTCGAGTACGAGTACAGCTGATAAGGCGGCACGGTACACACCTCCACACTCCACTTACACCGCCCAAAAAAAAAAAAACCAAAGCCCTCGCGGGAATTCAGAATTCTCTCATCGACCAAGAACAGTTATGCAAACCAAGAGAGAGCGAGAGAGAGCGCGCAAGAGAGCAGATCATAACAGTTACTCAATCAAAGCGATGCGTTCCTGTGGGTGAAGGAGAGTGGCTGGCAATGTAAGTTAAAAGAGCGCGCAGTTAATTTTAATTTGTTTACAACAACAATAAACAAAAACACAAAATAGAATAGAATAGAATAGAATAATTCAACAGTAGTACAACGAGGAGAAACGAAACGAAAAACAGAAAAAAAAGAGTGCCGACCAAATTCGATTCTGATAACGAGGGTGATTAACAATTACTCGATCAAACGCACCGACACGCGCAGGAATAGTCGCGATTTGAGGTGGGTTGGCAGCAACCGTTAGGTGGGTGGCGGGCGGTAGGTGGCAGTGATTTATATGACTGCTAGGATCGGATCGCCGCCCCCGATTGGGTGTATACAACAGGGTCTCAAATACAGAGGCCGCATCGTATCGTTGGCCCGTTGTCGTAGCTGTCGTTGTCTGCAATTGGAAATTGGAGTGGAGTGGAGTGCCATCGAGCCATTGGAGCGCCGTGAGCACCTCCTTCAACCATTCGACCATTCGACCATTCGACCATCAACCACCAACCCCACTACTATGCCCTTATCAAAAACCCCCGATGGTAGCGCTCGAGGCATTATCTATATCGGTTTCTCTCTCTCTCTCGCTCTCTGTGTCTCTTGCTGTGTGTGTGTGTCATATCTACATAACGGCTCTATTATTGTTAATATTGATATCTTACCCATTAGCACAACATTATATGTACAATCTATTATATTGTGTGAAATCAGATTTAGTACAATTTATTGGGCCCCTTGGCTCTGGCTCTGGTTTGGGGCCTTCTGCTGCTGGTTTCCACTGTTCATCAATTAGTTCATCGCCTGCGGCCAACGCAGTCGCTTCGATCGTTCGGTGCTCCATAGGGATACGTATCCCCGGCCCACACTTAACACTAAACAACTTCATCATGGACATTGGCACCAAGTCCAGCAAATCTTCCTTCTCCATTGACAACATATTGGATCGCAGGACGCGAACGAGTCACAGTCCCACAGCCACAGAAGCCACAACAAATCGCACGCAATCGCGTCGCAGCTCGCCCCATAGTCCTGTGGCGGCAACATCTGTGCTTAGCATGCCCAAGGCCACCATGGCCACGGCCACGGCCACGGCCTCGCCACCAAACACCGCAACGGGCGTGTCCATCTATGATCTATCCCGCGAGGCAGTCGCCGCTCAATACGCCCTCAAGAATCTGGAGTCCAGCCAGGTGCTGTCGCCCACGACGCTGCGCTTCAATCCCATCTATCCGGATCCCGCCTCGTTGTTCTACCAGCAGATGCTGCATCTACAGAAGAATCCCTCGCTCTTTATGCCCCACTTTCAGGCAGCAGCCGTTGCCGCAGCAGCCGCCGCCCAACCCACCGGCTATTGTGATCAATATAGTCCCTTTGCCATGGATTGTGAAGGTGAGTGTCAGTTGGGGAATGTATATTTAATATATGCTAGGGATAAGGGATATAGGATAATACAGAGAGAATACATAGAATATATGTATGTCAAAGACATATAAAAGCATTAATTTTCATTAATGTTTCGCTTTTTGAAGTGCAGGCAGTTAAATAGATTTTCTATTTGAAAGAATGAAATATTCTAGAAGCATTTATACGCATAATAATTATAGTTTTTAGGATCTGTTAAATATAATGGCAGCACTGACTAAAGTGGCAATAGTTTTCTTATACAAATTCCCAAGATCTCAGCAGTTTTACTAGATATATTTGGGATGTAAATGTTCTTTATTCAGACCATAATCTCCTCCTTGATCTTTGACTCTCAGTAACACAAAGAAAATTCTGGCAATTCTTATAATAATAATTATTAGCATTCGGTCATAGATATTTGTGAAATACCGGATATGAGTCACAGACCACATATATCATGAATGAATGAGCGATACAATTATCAATTAGTGGCTAAACATGCTGATAAATGTAGCAACTTTATAAGTACAGGTATTCATAAACAAGTGAGATGTTGATCCCATCCAGATATGAAGCCAGCCAATGTGTACCCGAAAGTTATGAATAGTTTTGGCAAATAAATGTGGGACATTTCGGGAAAGGTTTTACGAAATGAAGAGCCCAAAAATTCTGTTGAACTTTCACACAGAATTAGCTAGTTTTTTTTGGGTATCTCTATGGATTAAAGTGCAGCCCCTGGGACAGTTACAAGTTCAAGTCAATGAACTTGAGTGAGAACAAGCCCCATAATCCCCTAACATTCAACTGACATATGGAAATCGATCGACCTTGATGGAATAGGTCTGAAAATATATGTTAAAATCCTCATTTAAATAAAGTCTTAACCGTTCAAAGCGCAGCACTGTTCAATCTACCAAAAATATTCAATGAGGATCCCACACAAAATGGGCCATAAACATGATTAATGTGTGTGCCCTGTTGGGTGTTTGTCAAAGTCAAGTGTTGGCGCCAATGCCACTTGAAATCTCACTCCATCCCCATCCGAATCCCTCCCCCCAGTTGCATTCTGTGGTTAGTTCTTAGTGCAATGTAACGGCAGAATAACCCCCGGCACCTCCATGGAACTGAAGCCTGAAACAGCGGACGGACGACTGATAAAGTCGCCGCCCCAATTCTACCCCTAACTCTCTGCCAACCGTCGAGTGTGGACAAACATTCGAAATATTTTTTCGGCTGCCTTATCAAAATGACAAATATTTGAAATTGAGGTGAGAGCCGATCAGAAGCCGCCATAGCAATGCGTTCATTAGGGGTATAACGAAACACTGGGAAACCCAGTGACGGTTTGGAACTATCTGCGGGGGATTATTGTGATGTTTTTAGTGAAATGGATATGTTTGAAATTCATTCATTCATGCAATTGAAATGCTCCGTAAGACCTTCCATGTAGAATTTAGATAAATATAAGGTAAAGTCTTAACTAAGATTAACTATTCATACACCAGAGAAATGTACTCGCAGTTATGGGAAAATATTGGACAAGAATGTTTCCCATAAGTGACTGCATTTGGTGTATATAAATCCCACTTAAAGCTGGGAGTTTTTTTTATGGGTAATGATTAGGGGGGTTGAGGCAATATATAATAACGACCAAGTGATTCAATAGTCTGAATCATTTGATTTCTTTGATACAATAAACTGAATCACTTGGTAAATATCTAGCAGCTTATGATCCAATATGTCTGGACTACTTCATGTTTACATTCCCATTCCCATTTTTATTTTGCCAATTTTTTTCCACTTCCTTTTACAGTCCTAATATCTGGGAAGCATCTCAAAGCTTTAATATTCTATCTATTCTATCTGCTATTACCCTCTAAAGCCTCATCAATTGATAGAGCATTGTTAGGTGCGGTCTGACAATTTGTTGAGCACTATTGAGCCAGTCGCATTCACATTTTGATTTCCGATTTGTGGGTTGGCTTATCTAAACGAAAAATGCTATTAGAGGCGATTAATAGGCGCTGTCCATCATCTGGTGGCGACAATTGCCATTTGATTTCGATAAGCTTCGTCGTCCGTTGACGACGCTTGTCCGCCCCCGGGGCTGGGAGTGCAGGAAGGCTGGGCTGGGCTGGCTTGGGTTGGGTTGGGCGTATGGCCGACAAGTGCTTGATATGATTTAGTTTTGTTTTTTCGGACATACACATTATAAAATAATAATAACAAATTCAATTTTCAACGATTAAAAACAAAAAAAAAAAAAACAAACCGTCTGCGGGGTATGAGTAGATCTTTTTTTAGAAGGGGTACACGTAGACGTAGACAGAACGGAACGGGACGGGACGGGACGGGGCGGCTTATCGCGGTATACGCCACTTAATAAAAATAAACGTTAATAAGCGTATTTGTAATAATTTAAATTATGAGCGCCATTTACTTTTATGATACTTGGCAGAGTTCTAAAATATATTGGCACTATATACATACATATATGTACACGTAGGTAGGTACATGGGTGCAATCTTCGATACGTTTCGAGGGTTATGAGGTAATTGAGTCCCAAAATATCAGATTAGATCAGAATTATTGAATGAGCGCAATTTAAATCTTTGACAAGTGCGAATTTCCGTTACGTCAACAGCAGATAGAGATAGTGATAGAGAGAGAGAGAGAGAGAGAGAGATAGAGAGAGAGAGGGAGGGAGAGTCTACCCCAGCACTCTGCAAGTGCGTTATCAGCCCCACTCGAGGGGAGTGTACAATCGGATTGCTTGTCGGGTGGTAGCCGAACCTCAATTACCAGCAATAGATTCCGCTCAATTGCCACCGGGGAGGGGGAGGCATGGCGGGAGAGCGTCCGAAACCCACTCGTGCTCAATTTCCAATTTAATTCATTTCGCAATGGCGTCCAAGTTTGCAACCCACTTACAAATGGGCGTTGACATATTCCCCCGATACTGATACGTATACAGATACTGATATATATGTACATATAGTATACGCGTATTCCACATTCCAATACACATGTATTACTGGGAATAGTTCTGTCTGATTACCTGCGATAAGAGAGCTGTTCGACAGAGTGGGACGCCGATACCTCGTAGATAATGGAAATCGAGCAATTGAAGCAACCAATCGAAAATGGAATGACTATTCCAATTTATATCTAAAAGATAAAGTTGTGAATTTTCGGGTAAAGTACAGTCTAGAAGTGGTGCAGAAAAATTTTGATTTATTTGGAAATATGAGTCGAATACTCGTATGAGTACAATGGGTCGAAAGTCCTCTTCCATGTGCCCTGTAAATGGTTGTTTCTGATGATGATTGCAAAACGGAATTTGTTGCAATAAACCAGACAGAAAATTCCAAGAATGTTTCGCGCAAATAGTTCTATGGCTTTAGGAACCCCCAAAAATATTTACTAGGTTTTAGAAAAATGTTAATCAAATAAAGCTATAAGGTGTCACAACTACTATAAGCATATACGAGCATCCATTAAATAGTACATATATCATAATATTAGGGAAATAAAAACCATCACGATAAAAAAGTTTGCGACCTCGATGTTGGATTAAGATATAGTTTTGGGTGTAGCCGTTCAAATTGTAAGTCTGTTCCACTTTTAAATTCTTGCATGATCTGAGTTCAAATGGGAGTAAGCCAGTTGGCTTTAAACAGTTTAAAAAATTGTAATATTTTAGTACGAAAGGACCAAAAAAAAACCATCACTTTTTAATTTCCATAATATTTGGGAAATATATACATATATAATATAATATAATATATAAGGGAAATAAAAAGTGATGATTTTTAATATTTGATGGATATTTTTATTTGTTCCCTTAGCAGTTTTTATTTTTATTTTTCATTACAGAATGAGCTTAATAAAAGATAAATAGTAGAGAGATCTCTTTGTGTACAACGAAAGAGTTTGTGCAGAAAATTGTAGCCAGAAACAGAGCCCGTACTTACCTTGTACTTACCAGATTCAACATTCATCAGTTATTCCCAGAAATGACCCCTGAAAGCCATCCAAAATCTTACCCAAAATCTTCATTAAACTCCAACAAAAACCTTTAATTTCTACACTCTCTCCTCTCCGTCTCATAGGCTTTCCCAATCCGGCCTCCGCTGCAGCCGCTCTCTACTGCAATGCCTATCCGGCGGCCAGCTTCTACATGTCCAACTTTGGGGTGAAGCGCAAGGGCGGCCAGATCCGATTCACGTCGCAGCAAACGAAAAATCTCGAGGGCCGTTTCGCCAGCTCCAAGTATCTGTCGCCCGAGGAGCGCCGCCATCTGGCGCTGCAGCTGAAGCTGACGGATCGCCAGGTGAAGACCTGGTTCCAGAATCGTCGCGCCAAATGGCGACGGGCCAATCTCACGAAGCGCAGTGGATCGGGTGCAGGATCGGTGGCAGGTGCCACCTCAACGGCGCCCAGCTCCAACAGCAGCAGCAGCAGCTCTGCCTACGGCACAGCCCTCCTCCCACTGAGCAGCCGTCGGAGTGGCAGCGGGCAGCAGAGCGACGAGGAGGATCGCATGTATCTGTCGGACGATGACGAGGACGACGATAATGACGAGGAGGAGCCGGCGGAAGCGTTAGCCGAGCCTCTGGTCAAGTGAAGCTCGTGGATTGGCAGGGGGAGGGGCAAGGGGGGCGGGGGGGGACTTACTCATAAGATAGTTCAGTTTGTAGTTTAGATTAAATAAATTTATTTCAATGCGAATAATGGCAGCTGCGATCCTGGTGGCTAGTGGAACTGGTAGCTGTCGAGGCATGCGCAATTGGGCAGCGTGCAGCGCGGTGCCAGGTTCGAGAGATGGCCCATGGTCACCGGAAAGGAGAGCGGCACAAACCACTTGGGGTAGGCGCAAATGGCCGCCGCTGCTGCTGCCGACGGGCTGCTCCCAAAGGCGCCACTCGGCGGCTTCAGCTCCATCAAAGGTTTGTTTGGATACTGCAAGGAGCAAACCAGCTTTAGACCTGCTCTTCCTCCCTCTGCCTGTTGCAGCACACTCACCTGATCTGCGATGACCGGCCGGAAGGCGCTGCTCCTTTGGGGCATGGCCAGCGGTAGGCTTTGCATTGGACTCTCTGCCATTGCCAGCTGGGACTTGGAGCTGTCCATGGGAGCTGCTGCCGCCGCTGGAGAGACATTCTCTATGGCCCGTATCAGATCGAGATCGCAGCGTTTGAGCACCAGCTCCAGAACAGATCGCTTTCGCTGGGGAAAGAGCTGCGCCAGCATATCGATGGCCGTCTGCGAGACATTCTCCCGTCGGGTGGCACTCAAATCCTGGGCCACAGCCGGCGGCTCACACAGCTCCTCCTGCTGCTGCTGCTGCTCCTGCTGGTGCTGCTGCTGGTGCTGCCTTTCCACCGACACAATCTGCTTCTCCAGCTGTTCATCTTGCTTGAGTTTTTGGGGCGAACTCGGCTGCGTGACGGTCAGGCCATAGATATTGCCCGGCGGCAGTGCATCGATGGAGCGTCCCGTTTTGTTGGCCACCAGCCGCATGGCAATCGCATCCTCCACCGCCTGCTGACGCTTCAGGGCGACCTGAAGGCCGGCCACCAAACAATTGAAATTAATATGCGACAAGTGAACATCTTCCTGCCGACTGCTTCTATTTGACTTTACTACAAACAAAAGCCACAGCAATTCCTTGGGGTATCACACAGAGTTCTCCCTGTTCAGTTCTCCCTCCCTGCTAACCTAATGAAATGCGAGACCAGGCCACACTTGTGCAAACAGTTTTGGTAAGCGGATATTTTGCTCGATTTGTTTCTACGCTTTGACAACTTTCCATCATCATCAGGACGCGTAGATAGCACTGGGCGCACTGGTTTTTTTCTGACTAAATCTGTTCTACGTATTCCATTTCATTGGTTGTTTGTGTTGGTATGGGCGGATGGAAGGTCTGCCCATGGGGTATTTGTGTTTCAAATTAGAGCAGGGCTAGCATTTAATCTAAGCACAATATAAATGGTATAGCTGGCAGGAATAGTTTCTCAGCCTTAAATTGAATTCGTTGGCAATGATTGATTGATTTTAATTGCATTTTAAGATATTTTGATACTGCTTTAAAAATCTTTTAGTTTGAGGCATTTCAGGTGACTGAATCCTTTGAAATTTATTAAATTTGAACAGGTTGAAGTTGATATAAATTTGGAACTGCTCTGCAACATTTAAGGTACATATAGGGGAATTATTTGTACTGAAAATAAATTAGGGGCTATGCTAATAAGAGTATCTCAATGTATCCCCTCTATTTGCTTTGAGTTGGTACAAAAAAAAAAATGATATCCCCAGTGCTTCTTCCATTGCTTACCTGGGCCGCCATAATGCGCTGCCGCTCGAAAATCAGGACACACTTGGCACACTTGCAGTTCTTGTAGGTGCAGAGCTTCTTGTGGCCCCTCAGCTCCGAGATAATGCCATGATTGCGACACCGGGCGCACTTGGGCACTCGATTCGCGACCTTGGGGGGGCCTTGCTGGGACGACTCAACTATTTTGAGGCTTTTCGCGCTGGCGCCAGACAAACGAGCACGCTTGCTGGACACCTCACTTATGGAATCCTCACTGGCACTGGCCATGGCGTAGCGTAGCGTAGCCGTGGAAAAGATTCAATTAAAACTGATAATTGACCAAAGAAGTTGCAGCGGCGTCGAGAGAGTGATACGAGTATTTGTGGCTTTGTTGGGGGCAAGCGAAAAGAAACTAAATTTTGGAAACACTTGGAACCAGGATTTGGAATTGTTTCAAAGCCAAGTTGATGCTGAAGCAGCTTTGTTGACTTACGCAGGCGCTTTGGCTTGGCGAGGATTTGTCAGGTTCTATTCGATTCTATTGGTGGTTGCTTGTCATGCGGACTCCACCCACAAGACTCAGGGTGGGGGTTTTGTGGGAGGAGCAAATAATCAGAGAAATGTAGCAGTACACAAGATGACTAATAAGCCACGACTTTAATGATTGGAAGGAATGGGCATTCTTTGAAGAAAACACTTTGATTGTTCTATTATTGGTTTATTTTTATTCAAATTTATTCGTTGGCGCCAAACAAGTTCAAATAAAATAACAGAGGATTCCTCAGAGCTTACGTGATGGTCACACTCCAGCCGATAATCGAAAAACGTTCCGATATTTACAAGCAGTGTTGCCAGTTTAGCTATTTCTAGCCTCATTGCTGCGACGTTCCCGTAAGATGCATTTGATTTGTATGCAACAATTTGCATACCTTGGGAAGATGGATATTATGGACTTGAGATATTGTTTGTAATTTCAGGCACCATTTAATGCAAAAGCCACTGTCACTGCTTTAAAAATATTAAAGAAATTTTGCAGCTCACGGGTACCAATAATAGTGATCAGAACCGGGATAAATGTATATATAAATCACCAAACATATGCATTAATAGGTAAACAACATGTCAATCTTGGATAAATTCAATATTAATGTTTCAAAGCAGCTTGGAACAACAAATTTAACATCAGTTAAAGAAAATATGGTATACAAAAGTCCATACGCATAGAAGAAACTTGGTTGACCAGCAACATTGACGTCACATTTCGTACACACTTACGTTTCATGCTTTGGCCGCTTTTGTTTGAACCTTATTTTGTAAACAATCCAATGAAAAAGAGTTCTGAAAACTAACCTATCCTAAACAAAATTTATTGAGGAATTGTATTAAATTATTTGTTTAGGGCTGAGAGCGCAACTAGCTAGTAAATTTAAACTGAATATCAAAATCATGGAATACGATTTCAATCAATAAAATAGAACGTTAGCCCATGGTCGACCATGGGGGTATTTAATATATTCACGAAATTTATGTAACTTTGACATATTTTACGCATTACAGGTGAAAGATGTCGGTGGTCATTTTGGTTTTGTAAGTAAAGAGGAGGATGGAGCTACAAAGAGCCTTCAAAACAGTATTATTTTCCGCTGTTTAACAAAGGGTGCTCAACTTTTTAAATAAAGGGGTGTTGAGTGGGTTAAGTCTCGTTTGACCGCCGGATTTTTTGGCCGGATGGTATTTTGTATCGTTTTGGAGAGACAGCCAGCTAGCACGTGTCCCCCAAATAAACCGACTTGTTGTGTTTGACTAAGATCATACAGACTGCCGATAAAAATGGTTGCCCAGGAGTCCGATAAAATGAAGGCGCTCGCGCTCAAATTGTTTGAAATCAATGCGTTCAAGTTCGGAGACTTCAAGATGAAGGTGGGCATCAATTCGCCGGTTTACTTTGACCTACGTGTGATTGTCAGCTATCCGGATGTGATGGTGAGTGTTTTGTACGTGTGGCAGTCGCAGTGGCCGTGATTTTATTACCATTAATGTACCGAATTGCCCTAGCAAACCGTCTCGGATTTGCTGGTGGAGCACATCAAGGAGGTGAAATTGAGCGCCAAACATGTGTGCGGTGTGCCGTATACGGCCCTGCCGCTGGCCACGATCGTCTCCCTGCAGCAGGGCACGCCCATGCTGGTGCGGCGGAAGGAGGCCAAAGCCTACGGCACCAAGAAGCTCGTCGAGGGCATCTTCAATGCTGGGGACACCTGTCTGATTGTCGAGGATGTGGTCACATCGGGCTCCAGCATCCTGGAAACAGTGCGGGATCTGCAGAGCGAGGGCATTGTGGTCACCGATGCCGTTGTGGTGGTTAATCGTGAGCAGGGCGGCGTGGCCAATATTGCCAAGCACGGCGTTAAGATGCACTCCCTCTTCACGCTGTCCTTCCTGCTTAACACCCTACATGCGGCGGGACGCATCGAAAAGTCGACGGTGGACGCGGTGGCCAAGTATATTGCCGCCGTCCAGATTAACAGCGATGGCTCGTTCGTCGGTGGCGATAAGCCCGATGTTGTCGGAGGTGTGTATGCTCCACATTTGTGTTTCCACCCCTCCCCCCGATATGATAAAGATAATGAATCCATGACACTCGCGCATGTTCAGTTTAGTCGGAACCCAACGAACTTTGATTGCCCAGAGGCCACGCATCCCGCCGGTCTGATTCAATTAGGGACGTGCCATAAACCACCGCCTAAATTAGCTTTTATATTCCCTTTTGATATACATATTTGATATATATAGCCGCCGTAAAAGCGGTGTCCCCCAACTGGTGTTCCATTTGGCTCTAGCACAGAGCGAGAAGATCAAGTTTGAGGCTACTTAAAGCCGGCACGTGATGGTAGAAAGCGTTCAATGAATTATGTCATGCTTATCAGCTAATCGAGTGCCAAAGACCCTCTCCAATTGAATCTATTTAAAGGCAATCTGCCTGCTGATACTAAAAATACTCAAAGCAAATGCTTGTGTTTTTTTTGTTCCGCAGCCAATGACTTGCAGCGCACCAAACTGACCTACGAGAGTCGCGCCAATTTGGCCAAGAGTGCGGTGGCCAAGCGCCTCTTCAACCTGATGGCCAGCAAGCAGACGAATCTTTGCCTGGCCGCCGATCTGACCAAGGCCGATGACATCCTGGATATGGCTGACAAGTGCGGCCCCTATATCTGCCTGCTCAAGACGCACGTGGACATTGTCGAGGACTTCAGCGAGGGGTTCATTACCAACCTGCAAGCGCTGGCCAAGCGCCACAACTTCCTGCTCATGGAGGATCGCAAGTTTGCGGACATTGGCAACACCGTTGCCCTGCAGTACGGCAAGGGCATATACAAGATCTCCAGCTGGGCGGATTTGGTCACAGCCCACACGCTTCCTGGTCGGAGCATTCTGCAGGGCTTGAAGGCGGCTCTTGGTCCGGGCGATGCCAGCAAGGAGCGCGGTGTCTTTTTGCTGGCCGAGATGTCGGCCAGTGGCAATCTCATCGACGACAAGTACAAGGAAAACAGCAACAAGATAGCCACCGAAGGTGCTGACGTCGATTTTGTGGCCGGCGTGGTGTGCCAATCCTCGAAGACGTTCGCCTTTCCGGGACTGCTGCAGCTGACGCCCGGCGTGAAGATTGACGAGAGTGTGGACAAGCTGGGGCAGCAGTACCAGACGCCCGAGCATGTGATCCAGGAGCGTGGCGCCGACATTGGCGTGGTGGGACGTGGCATTCTGCAGGCCTCCAATGTGCAGCAGGCAGCCCAGACCTATCGTGATCGGCTGTGGGCGGCCTACAAGGATCGCGTGGCCAAGTAGGCGACAGAGAGGCTAACCCAGCATTCCGTATTTGAATTTGAATAGAAATTTCCCCCCCAGCCCCTACATTCGGTTTTGGTTAACTAATTTAAGCACAACAAAAGACAACAACAAATTCGTTCCATGATTTTAAAATGCATTTATATGAAATTGAACTCTAGATAAGAATTTTCAACAGACAGAAAAACGTATCCAATGTTTAAGATAAGAAAAATCACAACAAATAGAAGATAAAGTTACAACAATCGATGTGTGATGTGTTAGGTGGTGTAATGATAACAATATATACATATTATTATCTGATTCCTAGTAAGAAGCCAGACACTGCAATACGTAGCTATAGTCGCCGGATATATCGTCCTGTAAATGAAATCGAGAGGAGGAGAAACATTGTTGAATCTTACGTAGTTTTGCCATCGCACTAAGCAAACTTTATTGTTGTTAATAGCAAGCACAAAACTACATACATACTTATATAGATAAATGTATGTATGTATACGAGTACTATGCAGCATATTTCACAAATAAAAAAAAAACATGTATACAAAATAAAACACACAATAAAAAATCAGTATAATCGAGTAAAGATCCTTTTGGAGACGAGACACGTTAGACGTTATTGCACGGAGGAAATACTAAGGGTGTTTTTTTTTTTGTTGTTAGAAGTACAATTGGAATTAGAGAACTACATTAATAATTTCATTGGTTTTTTTTTTTTTCGTTCTTCGAAATGCAACATTTTTTGTTCTGTTTTGTTTCTTTTGGCATTTTCTATTTTAGCAGTTTTGGGGAAAAATCTGTATGCCGGCTGGATCCGCTCTACCAAGCCGCTAGTGTGACTAGCACATATCCAATATCGGTTTCAGCATCCTCCTGTGATGTGTTGCAGGAAAGATAAAAGCGTGAAAAGAGCAAATGTCAGAGCATTTTATTTTGTATACATTGCTTAAGAATCGGCTTTAAGCGATAAGTAAGTATCCTTGTCGGATAAGGTTATAGGTTAAAGTCGTGTAAAATGGTTGAAGTAGAGAATTATTGGTGCCATTAGCATATATATCCATGATCTGATAGCGAAAAGCGCGATTTGTTTTTAAATTAACATCAGTTCAACTAACATGTACATGCTATCTACATGACATGTAACTGACATGACAGTAAGCAGTGTAAGCTAACATAAACTGCATTGCAAGCAGTGTGCTTGAATTGAACTCACTTTTAAATCAATTTTAAGGTATGTTTAACTGATCAGGAATGTATATATATATCAATGATGAATAACCCTTTTCTTCTTCCACACACACACACACACGCATACATTCTAAATTCCTTGCAAAAACCACTGCCCAAGTTAATGATAAGTGTTAAGCGACTAACAGAGCGCTGTTAGTGACATGACAAGCAGTGCTGCAGCTAACAGAAACTCAAATTGAATGTTATATTTT